CCCCTATTAGGGTAGGGGGAAATCAGGGGCAGAGCTGGCTGGGAGGAGGGGCTGCAGAACAATCAGGGGCGGGGCCGGCCAGGGGGAAGGGTCACGGTGGGGTTGGTTGGCTGCCCGCCCTCAATAGGGGTGGGAAAGGCCAATCAGGGGCGGGGCTGACTGGGGGAGGGGCCACAGGAGGTTGGCCAGCTGGCCCCACCCCCATCAGGCCAGTTTGCTGGCTGCAGTGGGCGTCATAACGGCCAGCCATTCAGGTTGTTACTGTGTTCTGGTCACTGGCTTTTTATATATATAGACATTTGCAAACATCTTTAACACCTGTGACTCTCTGTCCTTTCTTGGCAGAAACCCAGGCTTCAGTGAACCCAGCCATCCTGTTTGTCCATGCCATCTCATTAGACATACCTAAGGCATGAAGTGCATTTGCTCTCCACAGCACAGCTGACTGAGGCTTCGGGGAAGTCCCATGAAGCTGATCAAGTTTAGGTTTCAGGGTCCTCACTTACATGGGCCACTTCTAAGACTCCAAAAGGAATCCTAGCCATATGTCTATATAGCCCTATGTTTTTGTGAAATTTTTAAAATTGAATATTTTTAACTAAAATTTGAAATAATACTCTTTCCACTCTAAATTCTCCATCATAGTACTAGGAGGTTGGGTGGCAATGGAATAGCCACAAGCACTTTTAGGATCGAGCTAAGGGAAGTTGAGTTGGATATTCATTTGATGTAAGTTTAATAGGATGTGGTTTTTGTGGTTCACAATCACATCTATGTAAAGTTCTTACTAGCCACCCATGTCAACTTACGATGCTAGGACACACAGGAACAAGGCCCTAGGTCACACTGTGATGTGACTGAATCCTAAAGACTGAGAAGAACATGAGAGGTGAAAGAGAAGTATGTTTTAAGTGACAGTGTCATAAAAATTACTCTGTGCAAATTTATTCAAATATTATAGCTCACACATGAGAAAACCTTTCTAGGAAATTTTCCATATTTGACAACAATTTTAAACATTTATATATTACCAGTTATGAGCTGTGAAGCTGAAAGGAACTCTTCTAAACTATCGTGATAAAAACAACAACAACAATCTCAATCATCCAGATTAAAGAAACAACTGAATTATCTTTCTGTTATCCCTATAGAAAATATTACAACATTGTTTTCAGATATAGGAGATCCACAGAAGTGTGCAACAAAACTATAGGAAAAAAGTAATACAGAGGTGTGTTGGGTAATTAATTAATAATACTTTTCCCTAGATTTTATCATGTTTATGTGCTTAATTAATAATAATTTATATTTCAATTTAGTGAATTTGATTTCTTTAAGAGACAGAACAATTCAAATTTTGTGTTTTATGTCAGTTTTCAAGAAAGTTGTCTACTTCATCTAAATTGTTGAATTTGTTGGCAGAAAGTTTTTAATGGTGTCTTAACCTTCATCCACAGCGTCTGTAATATTAATCTTTCTTTAATTCTTGGAATGGTGTTTTCTGTTCTCTTTATTTTTGTCTTGAGCAATCTAATGAAGGGTTATTCAGTTTGGGGATATTTTCTAAGAAACAAGTTTTAGCTTTGCTTACATTCTCTGATTTTGTTTGCTTCTTTTCTATTTCATTGATTTCTGCTTGTATATTTATTATTTACTTTATTATTACTTATGTTTGGTTTGCTTTGTTCTTTTAAAAAAGCATTTAGGGTAATGGAATAAGAAATTATTTTTAGACAACTCTTTTGCAATATAAGAATTTAACGTTATAAATTTCCTTCAAAGTACTGTTTCACTGCATCCCACACATTTTGATATGTTAAAATTTTATTATCATTTAGCTTAAGGTATTTCACGATTTCCCTTATAATTTTGACTACTGTTGCTATTAGTGTGAGGCACAAGTAAACCACATGCCCTACTTTTACAGCCACATTTTGGTAATTAAATTTATTGATATATAGGCAGCTTTGGCACAAATTTCTAATCATATCATGTGGAAAGAAGGATATAGGAGGAGAGATCATGCTCATATTTAGTAAATCCTTCATTAGTAATAATTTGAGTTTTTATTTGTTGCTTGCAGTTCTTAAGCAACTTTGATGAACTTGCAATAAGGCAAGTACAAAAATCTAGAAAACAATACAAGAATTTTGTAAATATCGATTTTAAATCAAAGGAATTCTTTGCTGGAAGATTTATCTCTGTGGATTCAGAACAAGAACTACTCTAGGTTCATAGACAGGATGATTAGAAATGGTGGGATAATGGATAATGCTGTTTCTTTAAATAGTTGTCCACTATGGAGACCTTAGTTATCATTCCCTTTTTCTTAATTATTTTATGTAGTCACTGTTTTTTTTTTAATTATTATTAGTTAAGGTATTACATTGTTCACTATGGAGACCTTAGTTATCATTCCATTTTTCTTAATTATTTTATGTATTCACTGTTTTTACACTTAGCAATTACAGCCATTATTAACTTTAAATTACATTTATTATATAACATATACATTTACATTACATTAAATAGCTGTATTTAATGTATGTGTCTTTAATATGTTGCCCAAGATTTCTTTGCAGTCTCGGTATCTAGCACACCGAAGTGTTCAAAAAATGTTTCATGTGGTTAGCCATGATGATGAACATGATGGATTGCAAATCATCTTTGAGCCATGGTGGTTCACACGTCACCTGTTTATTTTTCTTTATTTTATAGGTACATATAGAGAAGAACAGAAATGCACCTACCGATCCCTGATACAAGGCTACATCTGCAGAGAGACTGACCAAGTGATCTTAATTCTTGACACTGTTAATGCCACTTGGGCAGTGAGGAAGTTATATCCTGTTGTTTCTGTGACTAGTGGTTTTGTTGACACCTTCAGTAGTGTAAATGCCAATACTTCCTGCTCTACTTCAGGGTCTGTATCCACTTTCTATTCCATTTTACCCACCAGGGAAACCACCAAGGTCTGCTTTGTGGATCAGACTCCTCACATTTTGCGTTTTTTTCTATTGGGGAACAAAAGTACCTCCAAACTTCTGTTGGCTGTATTCTACCATGAACTCCAGAGCCCCCGTGTTTTCTTAGGGGAAAGTTTCATCCCACCTATTCTGGTTCAATCAACTTCCTCATTGCTGGATGAGTCTGTTGGTTCCAACTATTTCAGCATCATGGATAACCTCTTGTACGTTGTCCTACAAGGAGAGGAGCTGGTTGAAATACGCTCAGGTGTTTCCATTCATTTGGCCTTCACTGTGCTGTTTTCAGTCCTAGAAAAAGGCTGGGAAATGGTGACCCTTGAAAGACTAACTGAATTCTTCCAGATTAGCCGAGACCAAATTAGATTGATTTATGATATGCCTGGCAATGAAGCAACCTTAAAGGCTATTGCTGACCGTAGAGCAAAAAGAAAGCGCAATTGCCCAACTGTACCTTGTGCCAGTTATTATAGAGCTGGTCAACGTAGACCTCTCATGATGGAAATGAACTCATACAGGGTTCCCCCACCAACCACCATGGAAACTATGTCAAAAGTGATGGTCATTGAAATTGGTGATCTGCCAACAGTAAGGAGCCCTGGATGGATTCCATCCTTATCTAGCGACAAATTACAGAATTTGGCTCACCAGGTTATCACCGCTCAGCAGACTGGAGTACTAGAGAGTATGCTGAATATGACTATTGGGGCCTTACTGGTGACTCACTCAGAGGGAGTCATTGGCTATGGGTAAGTACTAATTATAATAACTCAAATTAGGGCCGATTCCTTGGGTGCATATTGTACATGTCAATCTATTTACACTGAATTATGTAACCTTTCTGTTTCTTTAGGTAAGAATAAAAAGTTAAGGAGCCATTTGTAGACTTAAATTCTCAATTTAAAAATTCTTTATTAAAACTATCTATATATTTATGATTATTCTATTCCCTAAGTAGTCAAATACATTATATTTTGGCACTTTAAAGTGAAAAGCATGTAGGAAGAAATTTTTCTAAAGCCACTTGTTTTCACTTCATTGGATTATTTATTAGTGTAATGAATTTAAGGAGTAGGCTAGATTCTGGGGTGGCTAAGGTGAAACAGATATGAACAAAAATAGGACCTATCACCTTTCCATAGAGTTATGAGCTAAAACTTCAGTACCAAGGGAGGAACATGATAATAATTTTGCCTGTAGGTACTGAGGAAGGACTTATACTTTGGAAAATGTTGGAGTGATGATCAGGAGTTTACTAAGCTGAAGCTATGACCCTGATTGGGCTTTCTTTAATCTAGGATGATGAAGTCCTGAAAGGATACCTTTGTCAAGTTGTGTGAGGCAGGAGCTCAATGATGCCAAAGATGCTCTTGGCACAGGCCTGTGTAGGATCTGTAATATACTTTGTGCTGTGTTATTCTGACTCTGTAAGCTTGTATTTTGAAGTTCTCCACTGGATTTCCATTCAATACACATTTCAGTAGTAAATTTACCGGAATGTTCCCCTGATCTTAGTAATTGAAGTCTGTGAAGCACTTATTAAGAAAAGGCAGGGGTACATTACTCTCAATTTTATAGACTACGTTAGCAAAGGAATGAAGCCCAAGTTCATCTAAGGAATCTGCCATGAGGTCAAGACTGTTGGAGTCCCAAGCCCCAATTTTTAGCAGATACAAAAGAACCAGCCTGAGAGACAATATGAACTTGGCATAATGCTTAGAAAAGATATATAAAACCAGCCACCTCACAAAGGCTTGCTGCTTGGCTGTAGAGGGCTCACCATGAGCAACATGGGTAGTCCCTATAAACTTGTCCTGCCACTGGAAATACAAGCTCAAACCCATGCACAAGTTGAGGTGATGTTGGGTCCCTGAGATAGGAAACTTACTCAGATTCTGAGCTATATTACTCAGTGACATATGAGAGCACTCATATTCTTATAGATTATGCTGCTGTTAACTGCTTTTGCATCTTATATGTGGTAGTGCTAATAAATAAGCAATTAATATGTAATGGGTATTAGTTACTCCTGTACAATCACTCCAATGAATGGGCAAGTTATTCTAAAGTAAAAAGCAAAAAGTAGTATCTTTACATCTGAGGCGTATTTAACTAATACATTGATTGCCTTTTTATACACAGAGCAACATATTTATACGAAAGTTTAGCTAGTGTTTTTGTGTTATATGTTATGTCTTTACAATGGAGATAGGTGTCCTCTTTCCTACAGTACATTTATATGTATGGAATATATAAAAAGGAAACTCAAGCATTTTTTCTGAATTCTGGTTGATTTGAAGAGTTGGGGAACTGTTGGCTTAGAATTAAAGCATGCTCCTGGTTGTATGATTGTACAAAATCTATTAAATCTTAAAAAGTTTTACCAGCCACTAACCCTTCAATATGGTATTAATGTTATTATGATATTACGCATGATAATATAAGAATCAGGAATCTGAAAAAATTATGCTAATGCATGCTAGCTTATGTTTAAATATGATTTCTTTCCTTTAGCCCAATTTCATTTAGATCCCTCTCGGTTCTTCTAGTGTATTAAATGTTTGAGTGACTAGAGAGAAAAAGAGCTAGTCCATTGCTAAATTTTATTTAGATTTTACAGTACTGAGCTTTTCTAATAGGTTGACATTTAACCATGAGTGATTTTTATATTGTATATTTTAAAAAGTCTCAGTGAGTATTTCGCATTTTACTAGAAGGAGGGAAATGTCAAAGAGTAGAAGCAGTGGAAATATAACAGAGGAAACCCAGCAAAGAGAGCAGACTGAGAACAAGTTTAGGTACATGCACATGCTAGTATGTGTGGACATCATTTTATCATAAGGGTGTGAGATGGCTTCAGAAAAAGATTGCCTTTATTGCCCACAATCCGTTGTAGCCAGTGTGTTTTCACTTTGACTCAGATATTTCTGATTTAATAAGAAACTATGTATATTATTGCATCAGTTTTCTGTAGGGATGTATTATATCCCCCATTTCTCTCTATTCCTCTAGTATTTTAAGAAAAATTTTCTTAAAATTTAGACATAAGGCTAAAAAGCAAATAACATGAAGATAAGGACAGGCTGCTTCTTAAGAATACCTGAATAAATATCTGCAGAATGGGAACTGCTTCATCCTAAGGGATTGAGTGAGAATTAGCAAGGATTCCCATGTTCCTAAGAATTGCAGTCTGGTAAACAACCCTGAAGCCTTGTGTAGGCCCCACGGCCGGCCGGTCCTGTTCTTTCAACTTTGATCATACATTAACAACCTAATGAATTGACCCTGAGACAGCAGAAATTAGTCTAGGGACACAGGGCTCTCAGTGAGAAAGCACCACGCACTATTGTTCATAGAATTGATGCATGTCAACAGATTGAGGCCATATCAAATATCTACTTTTCAGGAGGACTATTTCCTGCTTTCAGAAAGCTACCAACGTCTGCTTTGTGGGGAGAAATAGGATGCTATCTGCTTTTTAATTAAACTAATGCACAGGGAAGAATTGGGCTCCCCTGGTGTTTATCCTCTGGAGCAGTGGTTCTCAACCTTCCCAATGCCGCGACCCTTTAATACAGTTCCTCATGTGTGGTGACCCCCAACCATAAAATTATTTTCGTTGCTACTTCATACC